GCCATAACGCGTATCGCTTCCCAAAGCCTTCTCCGGGCCCGGTCGGAGTCGCCTCCGCACTGACCCGAGTTCAAACTCTTCCTCCTCCCACACAACTCTGCGATGGAAACATCACCTTGGAGCTGATCCTGCCCGCCAGACAACCGAGTGAACAGTTTACTGTGACAATCATGCACGGATCAATGTGTCAACGCCATTGGGAGGAATACTTTGATAAACTGACTTTGATCAAACACACGGCCGATAAGGGCTCTGGAATCAGGTTTTGCTCCCTCTCTCCTGCAATCGCTCCTCGGGGTCTAAAGGTTCTTCATTGAGTAGTTACACAGTAACCCATCATCAGCACCGTATGGTGAAATGTATGTGCACTGATATAATTCTTATTTGCTTTCTTATAAACTCAAGCGGGATGACAGAGGTTCCAGTTGCGTCTTAAAACCACAATAAGGAAGACCAAGTTTTGGAGCTGTTTGGTAACTGATTAACCAAGTCCTCAAGGCTTCACAGAGTTTTACAGTCACTGTGGGTCTATAACTGTGCTGTCACCTGGTTGCATTTATCGATTTGCCAGTATCAAATATATCTGTATATGCATTTTAAATTTTACCCAATTAAAAAAGAAGCCCAATGCTACTAGATAGTCTTAGGTTACCCACTGACATGAGCAAGGTCTCAGAACTTTACAGTGATTTTGATACATACAAAGTTCTTTTTGTCTCCTACTACAGAAGCTGTTGCCACACTAGTTCAGAAATGATAGAAAGATGTGGCAGAATCAGCTGCTGTTAATTAATTGTACAGGTCTTGACTATTTTTTAACAGTGGCTTCCAGACACAATCTGGGCTATTCTTTCCCCAGGAGCTCAAACCAGATGCATACAAATTAATTTTTAGCCTAACTCACAGCATGGCTCGTTAAGTTGGATAGTGAGCATTCTGTGAAAGATCATTTCAGATTCCAGCATTTCTCTTTTGCCTATTGAAGCCTCAAGTTTCACCATAAATTACTTCTTACATAAGTAACACTGAATCCTGGAAACTTGGAGCAAATACTACACTTTTATTCCTAAATTCTGTTTGTTGGGGTTTTTTAAAGTGGTGACTGCAGCGTTCAGATGTCCACTAGACCCAACTCGGCAGCTTAGCTCTACTTAGAGCAGAGTATCTAAAGTCAAGAGAGCAGCGATCGGCTGTGGGGCACCGCAGCACTGCGAGCAGCGCCCCTCAAGCTTTATCCTGTCCGGGCCGAGCCCGATCCCGATGCCGGCACTCCCGG